CTCCAAGATAGCCGGCCCAAACCCATTAGGGTTAGGGTTAATTTTATGACTCGTCAAGTGCCCCTAGCAAGCCATGTTCTCGAGACTTGATGAGAAGGATATGGGTTGCTACAAGCGTTGATGTCTTCTCGAGTTTCGTGGTGTTGCCCCAGTTCTCGAACTCTTTTGTTCTCGGGTATCACCTATACAAGATAGAGAGAGTAGAATGCCTCGAGGAGGTCTTTGTGTTACTAAGTTCCTTATTAGCAGGGGGAAGCCTGTTTATGCCGAATTAGGAGGATGGCGCCTAGATTCTCTTATTTGAAGGTGAGAAGCCTGTAGTTGCCTGTCGTGTAGGTCTTGTGGCTTTGCCTGACTAGCAGGTCTTATTTGGCCGTTGCCCGACTAGCAGGTCTTTGTGGGTCGTGCCCGACTAGCAGGTCTTATTTAAACCCGGTGCCCAACTAGCAGGTCTTTCGTTGATATACCATTTCGCTCAAAAGAGGCAATATAATAATATGTTTATTGAAGATAAGTCAAAGCTTAATAGTAAAAGATCCTTAACAATATTCTAAATCAAAGCATCGATGTGCTAAATTATTAAACAGAATATGAAAGCAAGAGGCATACTTGTTGGATGGAACCTCGAGGAGTCCTTATGGTATCTTGTGTGAAACGTGAGGCTCACCTGGAATTTTCCTCGAGGGGTTGTCTTGATTAGCCATATATTCTCGGAATTTTCCTTTCTCAAGCCCTTCCTCGATTTGCTCATTTAATTCATGGCAATTCTCGATATCGTGCCCATGATCTTTATGGAAAGAACACCATAAGTGTTTCGGGCGCTTACTTGGATATGTTGACATGGGACGTGGTACTTTGAACTCATGTTTATGGACCTTTAGGATTTCAGCTCGAGGACGAGTTAAAGGCATATAAACATCTGCCTTTCGCTTTGCTCGGTCATGGCCTCTTTCTCGATCGCGATTGTGTTCTCGATCTCGATTGCGGTCTAGTTCTTGGTCACGATCTGCCCCTAGGCCTTTAGCTTTGTACTCGAGCGACCTCTTCTCATAAGGGTATAAGCTTTCTCGTGCTCGACGTAAATCTTCTTCTGCGCAAACTTCAGTTTCGACCATCGAGAAGAGCTGTTGCAACGTTTGTGGCGGCTCTTTTGTCAGCTTTTGTCGCAAAGTAGCAGATTGCCCATATGGATAAAGACCATTAGTGAAGGTTGCAACAATTGTCTCTTCAGATATTCCTTCGACTTGAAGTTGTTCTTTGGTGAAGCGGCTATAATAAGCCCCAATAGATTCGTCTCGATCTTGCTTGAGGGACATTAGCTCGGTAATCGTCTTACGAATCTTCTTTCCTTGGAAGAACCTTGTGTGAAACAAAGTTCCCAGCTCATGAAACGTCCGTATACTTCCCGGAGACAAGGTTCCGAACCAGAGTTGTGCTTGACTTGTGAGATAGGTTGGGAACACCTTGCACATGAAATCATTGGAGGCATTCCTCAACCTCATAACACTCTTATAGACTTGCAAGAACACCATGGGGTCGGTATCTCCTCCATAAAGCTTCAAATCTAGAAGTTCAAACTTCTCGGGCATGGGCGTTTCTCGGATACGTTGGATGAATGGACTATCGTCTCCCTCCTCGTCTCATTCAGATCCGGGAACCCTGCGTAATTGCTCCTCGATGGTTGAAGGTACTCGAGGTGGAGGTACGTTCACTCGAGGGGGACGAATTTCTTCTCGAGTTACAAGGTGATGTCCTCGAGAGATGCCCCTAGGGTTTAGCCCGCCCTCTTTCGAGAAGGTACCCAGATTGTCGACCAAGAGCTGTCACTGGATGCTGTCGTAGTGGCCTGCTTGTCTTTTTCAGCAGCATTAGCAGTTGTTTGTTGTTTTTCTTGTGCCATTATGATGTTGATGTTACGCAGCGTAAAGCACCAAAAAATTCCAACTTCGCTTCGAGAAATTTATTTGGTTGTAAGGACCAAACAAATCGGTCCCACTGGGCGTGCCACTTGACGAAGCATGGATTTGTACGGTGCTTAGGACGGGCGGCGATGATGACCTAGGCAGCGGCGGATGGCCTAAAACCTGCAAGACAAGCCTCGGGTGTCTCCCGAGGGTAGACTCTCCGATACTTAAGTTAATAAAGGAGTAGAGATAATAGAGAGAGAGATGTGTATCGTGTGTAGAAAGTGTAGAAGATAGGTAGAAGATATCCCTTATGGGAGAGGCACCACCTCTTAATATAGAGGTGGTGTTACCGCTTTCCTGAAACCTAGTTGTATTAGGTTTAGGCGGTGACTTAACCTCCAAGATAGCCGGCCCAAACCCATTAGGGTTAAGGTTAATTTTATGACTCGTTAGTACCGGAGCCTCCATTAAAGAAGGTCAACATTTTGCCTTCTTCTAGTTCTTCTATACCTCTTCCACAGTTCCACTACTGCTCCGCTTTCCTCTATCTCTGTTGGTCTATTCTTCGATCACCTAACTACAATAAAATTCACCCGTGATAATTATCTACTTTGGAGTACACAATTCATGCCTTTTTTAAGAAGCCATCAACTTCTGGGGTACATTAATTGCACCATTGATTGTCCACCAAATACAATTACTACAACAACACCAGTAGGTGCTCCTCAAGCTCCAAATCCAGCTTATCAAGCTTGGTTTTAGCAAGATCAATTGGTTCTTAGTGCAATTCTGTTACAGTACTCTCAGAAGAAGTTCTATCTCATGTCTTGTTTCTCTCCTCATCTTTTGAGGACTCGACATCCCTTAAACGCATGTTCTCCTCACATTCCAAAGCTAGAGTGATGCAAGTTCGTCTTCAACATTTTACCGTGCAGAAAAAAAGACTTTTCAGCTTTTGGTTATTTCCATCAAGTCAAAAACCCTAAAAGATACATTGTCACTTGTCAGGATCAAACAACCTCTACATGAAGAAAGATTATTTCTTATTTGCTTCCAAGGCTGGGATTGGAAGAATATGATCTTCTTGTGACGCCTATTTCTACTAGGACATAATCTACACGCTCAATGATTTGTATGCTCATCTATGAAGCTATGAGCTTCATAAAATATGGAACAACATAACACTACTTTCTAGATCATTGTCACTGGATTTACAGCCAATATTGCTACACGCAACAACCCGGTAGGTTTTCTATAGTTATAATAAAATTCATTTATTGTAATCTATTTTATAGGCTTAATTTGCTTATAATTTTGAGATTATTGACGAATTTTATTATTGTTTCGTATTAGGTAGTGAAGCAGTGAAAGATGGACTATTTTTGACGTTATATAGGTTGTTTTATTAGCAAAATTGGAAGATGAAAAAGTAAGTAGAAGAAGCTATTATTAGAAGATTCCTTGGAAGATTTTTTACCAAAGTCAAAAAAAATTCTTACTCAATAGAAATCTTTGATTAGCTTGGTTAGGAGAAAAAATCTGCAACAACGATATTCATTTGAGCTAGTAGAGATATTAATATAGGAGTTGAATTGTTTTCCATTTTCTTTGGAACTTTTAATCGGCCAGGAAGCAATACTCATAAGGCTGAACTAATTTGCTTTTGTACCCTAGGCAGGATTAGTTTGCTACTAGTCTCCATTTTTGCCACGGTTTTATTTTTAGCTTTTTTGTTTCACTGCAATTTTCTTTTTTTTCCCCGCTAAAAACTTTAAAGATATTACTAGTTACCACGAGTGACTAATTTTCTTACTTTGGTACAAGAAATAAGTCAGTTATATTACAACTCATAAATAAGAAAGTTTATTTCTATAATTCAAGCATCCAATCCTATGCTTAATAGGATAACCGTATGCATTCAACTGAGAACGAGGAAGAACGAATCCTGGGCAAGAAACAAACTCAAATATGAAAGACATAATTTTAATTTTGAGTGAACTGTCTCAAAGGTCACGAAACTATGCAAAAGTTGATTTTTTCATTACTGAATTTTACCCATTAGGGAGATCGTACACTTATAAAGAGTGTATAAAATAGGTCATTCGATTATTCGACCGTAAGACTCAATTACTGGTATTAAACGTGTAATACAAAAATTATTATTTAGCATCTTTATTCTTTTGCTCTTTTTAGTTAGGATTATAAACATTTTGCCCCATAGAAAAATTTAACATTTTGCCCCCGAAAAATTTTATTTTATCAAAAAAGTTAATTTGACTTTTCTTTTTTCTTTTAGCATTCTCTAATTATATTATTTTGTAATCATTTCATTTTTATTTTAGGTTTAATAAATTTTTCTTTAATGTATATGTGTATAAGAATTTAATTTACAATGGTTTTGGAAATTATGTTTTTAAAATAACTTACAACTACACTTTCTTCATGAAAAAATGTTATGAATAACGAAGGTAATTTGCAAAAAAAATAAAATAAAATTAATTTTTTGTTTTTTCAACAATTAAATTGAAAAAATATTATATATAATAAATGTAATTACAACACAAATGTTTCGTACTCACAAAACTGGATATGAATTTAAAAAGTGGAGCTGACTGGGAGCTTTGATCTTGTGCTGCAAGATTTTGAAGAGAACAAGGCAATCTGTGTGCAAGAGCAGGTATGGATGAACCTCCGGATTAACCGATAATAAGGCAAAAAGGCAGGCCAAAGCTTCTCCTTGCAAGGGCGATATAGCAGCAAAGGAGCGGCTACCCTTTGAGAGTACCTCACCAGATGGAAGTGACAAGAGTCCATCCTCCTGCAGCTACAGACTGTGCTGACCGAAAGGCGCCATCAAATGATAGACAATAAAATTGCGGCGCTGTAGCTGCATTCGTGGTGGACTGTTGCACAATTTGTCCTCCCGGATCAAAAGGAGCAGCCCCATTATTTAGGCAAGATCGTAGCCATTCATTAATGGCTTGTCGAACAATCTGTAGAGGAGATGCTATTGACTCACCATCATGAATAAAAGAGTTTCTGTCTATCCAAATTGCCCATATTAGAAACATTGAGAGGCTTCTTGATTCATTATCAGGGGGCTTCAGTCATCCATTGAACGAACCAATGTGCAAAGGGCATTGGTTTTGCAGAAGAGAAATCAAAGCCGAGTGGGGAAGCTCCCCAGATATGTTGGGACCGAATACAGTCAAGCAAGAGATGGCTAATAGTCTCAACAGCAGCCCCACACCTAAAACAAACTGCAACTGTAGTCATACCCCAACGTGCGAGAGCTTGTTAAGTAGGACAAACATCAGACAAAGCTCGCCATAGAAAAAACTTGATCCTCTCTGGAATTACTGCATTCCACAGTTTTTTCCACACTGCTGGCGGCACAGTAAGAGTGGTTTTGGAGGTGGAAGGAACCTTTGAGAGATGTATTGTAAGATTACACGCTTGATGGTAACCCGAGCGGACCGAGTATCGACCATGAGACACTTCACCAATATAAGTGATCCGAGTACCTCTCCTGGTCTATTGGAATATAAATGCTCATTATGCGGGGAATAAGGTGTGGAGGAAATAGATTTTCCAACCTTGAAAGATTCCATCAATCCATCCCTCAGACGGGTGAAGGAGATGATCAACCTGTAAATCAGTATTCTGTATATCAGGGTCAAAAGCCAGAGGATTATGCGAGCCTGGGATCCAGTTTGCCGTGCGTGGAACATGATGATCATTTGACAGTTGCCATTTGAGCCCTGTAGAAAGTAAGTCCCTGCCCCAAAGTATGCCTCTCCAACCCCATGTGGCTGACTTCCGGGCTTGGACATGAAGGAAATCCTACTAGCGGCAATTAATATTTAGCCATATATATGCGAGCAAGAAGAGTCTGTGGAGCTTGAAGTATTTTCCAAGCTAACCGAGCTAATAAGGCATGGTTCATGTGTGCAGCAGCACGCATTCCCAATCCTCCATGAAATTTGGATAGGCAAATGGAACGCCATGTTTTCCAGTGGAGCTTATGTCCTTCTACATCACCCTGCCACACAAAATGTGCCGCTGTTCGATCAATATTGTCCGTGATTCCTTTCGGAAGTTTAAAAATTTTCCATGGCATATTGGGGAAGAGTTGAAAGAACATGGCGAGCTAAGGTGATTCGAACCATAGGAGACAAGGATTCTGTACGGTAATTTGCAATCTTGCGTTGTATCTTTGGCACAATGTCAGCAAAGATGTGACTCTGTGGGTGACCAAAATTAGTCGGCATACCCAAATATTTTGCTCCGGAGAAAGCATTGTCAATGTGCAAAATGGAGCGAAGGAAAATCCCAAATTCAGAGTGCACATTTAGGCTGAAAGTTAATGCTGACTTCTCAAAATTTAGCCTCTGACCTGAATGCCTAGCATACCCGTCTAGAATACGGGCCAGCAAGAAAGATGTTGATTTTTTGGTGTAGGAAAAAAGTAAGCAGTCGTCTGCATACATAAGGTGCGAAATCCTCGGCGCTCTACGTGCCACCTGAATGCCAATTCCTGACCGATGTCCTTCATGAGCTTGAAGGACAGAAGAAAAAGGTCGCTGCACTATGAACAAAAAATGCGACAGTGGACAACCTTGTCGCAGCCCTCGTGAAGGTAGGAAAAGATCTCCCATTAAATCGAATGACATAGGAAACCGTTTCCACGCATTGTCGAACATATGCTATCCATAAAGGGGGGAAACCCATCTGAGATAGTGCACTAACCAGAAAGGTCCATGATACACGGTCGTAGGCCTTACTCATATCCAATTTAATGGCAGCCATTCCTTATTTCTTCTTCGAATTAGGGTTCGTTTGAATTCAGGGTATCTAGTTCAATCCGGAGGAAATATTAGGGCTTATCAATTAAATTAAATTAAAGGAACTTTTTTCTTATTAATATTTGCTTCCTCCAATTTGTCTATGTTTTACTCTTGCTTGGATTGAAGAAGTGGATAAACACGGAGAATTCCGTTCTAAGTGGACCTGATGATGATGATCCGCTGCCTTCCACACCCAAGACTCCCGGAGCTACTGGGCTGATGATCATGACGTTAGTTTTTTTTTTTGCGTTTCTTTTTTTTTTGAGTTGTGTTTCTTGTTCTCTTATTTTTCTTTTGTCTTTTTGGTCTAATATTTTATTTTTTTTACCCTTTTTGTATCATTTTGTTGTAGTCTTTTTTTTACTATGATAATGATGCTTTCCCCAAGGAAGAGCAAAGAACCGCCACTTCTGTAGCAATGCTGAGTTTTCCTCGAATTTCTGCTATTCGAAGAAGGTATAGTACTCAAATAGCTTCTCAATCGTCTCCTTTGAATATGATTGCTTTACTTTTTATCTTTGAGTTAACATTGCTTCTAAGCTTATTAATTTCTAATCGTTTTTTGCTCCTCTCCTTTTTCTGATGGGTGTTCCTTTTTTGTGTTAAGGTTGACATCTATGAGCTGGTGGCTCTTTCATAGGGGAAAACAGTAGTAACAGAAAACATGCCGATACAGTAGCTACTTCAGGATGGCCTTATGTCCCTCGGCTCGCGCCTGTGACTGTTATTAGATTTTGGATTGGTAAAAATCTAATATATTTGGAGAGTATTTATCAGAAAGGGATTTACATTGCCTACTTCATTCTCTTTTGTTGCAAGTTTCTTTTGGTTTCCAATTCATTTGTGAAGCTTTTACGTGGTACGTACTATTTGCTGCATGCTGTTGTTTGGTCTTCGCTATTGTGCTTTTGTGGTGCATGTAATGTACTATGGAGTTTGAACAGGAGCCATCTTGTACTCTTTATCACTTGCGAGTTTGCTCGAGATGTTTTACTTTTGTTGTTTATCGGTACATTGATCTTATAACTTATACTGGTGGAACATGAGCGTGGATGGACGGTGAAGGTATCTCTGCTGGCCACACTGCCTGCAACATTCTTGACACGGAGTATTGCCTTGATTTCGTTCTTCTTTACTTGCCGTTAATGCGGATTCGTAGCTATACTTGTACTCATCTTCAAACTTGTTGGGCCGGCGTTATAAGTTGGCGGTATAAGTTGCAGAGATTATTGAACCTATCTGTTTAGAACTAGACGGAAGAATGATTATGTTTCGATTAGTTAACAAGTTGTGCAGCGTTACTCTTTTTGTGGTTTTCAGCACTTCTTTTTTATCCTACCCCATGTTGCCCTATTTATTTTTGCTAGTATGTTTGCGAAAAGCAAGGGCTTGAAGCAGGTATACTGATATACTCTTTAAGCAACATGCCAATAGGCTTCAAGGTCACTGCACTGTGCTTCAGGCTTCAAGGTCACTGCACTGTGCTTCACTGCACTTGGTTAATTCAAACCCAGTCACTTGGTTTTCCTTGAAGGTAGAAAATGGTACATCCATCACAGTGCAGAATGGAGACCTATTTATGTGATCAAAAGAAGAATGCCATAACATACAAAGGGGGGAAAAAATTTGCAACCACTTCAGGAAATTCATTAATATACAACATTTGTTTTGCAAGGTGCAATCACATTCTAACACCATGCCAGTCAATTCGGCAAGGTACCCAAAATACAGCGGCCTTTTAGAATCTCTTTCGCGGTGGAGGTAGATTGGATTTCGAAGAAGAAGCAGGACTTGAAAATTCACTGGGTTTCCGGGCAAAGGACAAACTGCATCACAAGAAGTAAGATTACGGAAGTTAAACAGAAGTTATTTTTTCACAGAAAAAAAAAAGAAAAAGAAAGAGAACGTTATGCTAGCTATATACTCTCAAGAACGACGAATACCTAGGATTTCTTTGTACTGCTTTCTTCGCTGCTGCTCTGTTCTTGACCTCTCGGCTATTACAATGAATCAAGACAGAGAAAGAAAATTGTTCATTTGCTTGATAAATGAAATATGATACCATAACATACTAACAATCTCCTGAAAAAGTCGCACCTGTTTATGAAATCCAATTTGGCCTTCTTCATTATGTTGCTTTTGGTGTTGCAAACACTGCTGTAAGAACCTGAGGATACAACAAAGAACATTTGATAAGAACGACCTATGCATATCAGCTTGTTATCCAGTAAGCAAATTTTGATGCCTTGTGGAACATCAGTACACAGAATCTTCAGTAAATGAGTATACCTCCGAAGTAACTTCTTTTACCGCTTGAAGGAGGTACTTTCATGCATATCTGAACTTGCCTCTTTTGCTTGTCTGCATATAAAACCAACTCTTATTGTTGTCTGCTTCAGGAAGTTGACAGATATCTTGAAATGAACGAAACCAAAATCAAAATGGACCAAAAACAACTGGAGGAATCAAAAAAACAAGATGAAGAAGAGGGGAATATAAGAAGCTTTCACTTTCTAACCGATGCCTCTTACACATGACAGAGAATCAACTTCCCACCAGAGATACCTATTGCTAGACATTACTTTGGTTGGAACCATAATCAAGTAGGCCAGTGTATTTGATTCAATATAGATTGGAATTAACAAAAATAACAAAAGGAAAAAGGTATTTTTTTGCAACATAATTTGGGACCAAAATTTGAACTAGTACACTGTAACAGAATTCAAGCCTGTATTCAGGGAATATGGAAGCTATACACTTGCGAAATGTGAATTAGGGGATGAAGAAAAATATATATTTTGCAAAGTAGAAAATAAAAGAGAGTTACCAGCAGCGGCATTTTCATAACGTTGTTTCATTCGCTCAACTATCTTGGTTTCCTGCTCTTCTATATCCTTTAATTTTGCCTGCATGAAGACCAATTCCAGAGGCAACAAGGTTACAACCGAGCACCACCGAATTCAAGTGTAAAGAACTGGTTCTAGAAATGACAAAAACGAACAAGCACCCAACTTGACAACCAGAGAACAAGGTAAAAGATATGGCAAATAGTGCAGAGCGGCATATAAATTTCCCCAGTAAGATGGATATCTCTGATGCAGCTCAAATCAGCACATACAAAACCTCGAGCATATAATGAAAAGGTTACAAAAATTAAAAGTTTTAACTGCGTCATCAGGTGGATTCAACTTTTCCGATCAAGCAATATCTTACAGAAAGGCTGAAACCAAGAAAAAATGTACAAAAAAACTATGGTACCTCATACAATTGTCTCCATGTAAATGAAACCTTCCTTTTTTTCATTCTCTCCACCACAAGAGCAACATTGTCAACACCAAACCGTCGCTCATAGAATTTTTTCCACAATTTGTTTGTTACTGGTGAAAGATCCCTTCCCTACAATAATCAAATATAAACGGAACAAAAGTCATCAGGTGCATAACACAGTAGATGCTTGCAAAACAGAAGCAGAACAGATATAAAACATGTCTTACTTCTGTACAATCCTCAACATGTATTAGTTGATCCATATTGCAATGGGGCAGAATACGCTCCAGAAGATGAAAATCTGTTTCTCCAACATTTCCAAGATATCTAATGTTAACAACGGCAACCTGAACACACAGATCAGTCAACGAGGGTGCTTGCCGCCTTGTTATATTAATCTTCTGATTCCAAGCCATCTACCAGCTCCAATCAAATCTAAGTATCCCTGGAGAACTTAAACAAACAGAATGAACATCAGGCACGAGGATTCATGTTCTCGTTTCAAAAAATTTCACTCTTAACAAACCACTTCAGAAGAGAAAGAAATTATTTCACTTCGCATCATTCAAAATGTACTAAATTGACGAAATCATTAACTTGAAATCAGGCATCAAAAACCCCAAAATAGTTAATACTTGAAATCAGGCATCAAAAACCCCAAAATAGTTAATACTTGAAATCAGTTAAAAAGACGTCTTGCTCTTCAGCCACAATTTCATGAAACCCATTCTTCCTAATTGTACAATTTACCAATCAAAAGCGGCAAAAAAAAAAAAAAAGTTGTCATCATTCTGGAACACAATAGATAGAATGACTAGCAAACCAAAGAGAAACATCAACGGAAAGGGGAAAAATTCAGATGATCACAAGAGCTGAAATAGGATTCCAGATCTCGGGTTGAGAATCTGAGAGTTTACCGTCAGACGATCGGAGCCGGCAGCCGGTCCAAGGATGGCGTCAGGCACAAGGAGCTGAGGAGCTTAACGGGAGACCCACGGAATTCAGGTAAAAAGAAAAATTGATGAATCAAAATATTTAATTAAAAAAAAAGAAGGGAAAACCAAATTAATCGATTGCGTTATTGATTCTTGTGGTGAAAGTGAAACAATGAAATTGGAGTATATTCTTGTGCTGAACGACGTCAGAAGGAGGATGACGACGATCGAGTATTCCAGCTGCACCATGGATTTAGATTTCGTTGGCGGGCTTTCTAAACAATTAATCTGATAAACTTTTGGGCTTAGTCCGTCAAATGTTTTGGGCTTACAGTCCGTAAAAGAAATATGTTTTTGCGAACTTCCAGTTCATTTTAAAAATCTTTTGAACCGTAACGGCAAATTTCGGTTGGCCATACCCAACGTCCAAATAATGTCGTCACGATGCACTGGTAAAATTTTCTCTTGATAGCCCGTATGCGTGTCATAATATGTCGACGCCTGCATCTTACTATATTAGAAACAAAAACCACTTTAGAGAAAGCACCACCATTTGCCATGTGGCATTTCCACGTCATATTTTTAAAATAAATTTTTATTTACACATCTCTTAGACTTAAAAGGAAAATGCAGTCCAAATCCACATTCACCTCCTATTTTCGCCAAAAAAAAAAAAAAATCACGTGTTCATAAAAAATTCAAATCCTCATCCACATTTCCACGACAATCGACTCCCTAATCAATCCCTTCTCCACAATAAAAAAAAAAACAAATTTCTCATCAATCATCAATTGAGAATATGTGGTGAAATATACTCCTTTCCTATTAGCATATTAAATTTTTTCATTGGTGATGATCAACTAAATCTTAATCTGATAAAATTTCGAGTTCAAAAAATATTCTCTTTACCTCACTATATAAAACAAAGGAAAAAAAAATTCTCATTGATCTTGCTTCGGCCATTATGGTGTATTTTATTTCAGCAGATCATTTGTTTGGCTTTTATTATTTTTTGTTTTTCCCGTTCAAGAATAGTGTTATTACTATTATTTTTATGCGTTCATCCGTTACAGCTACCGTATTCGCTGTTAGGTAATATGATGCGATTTCTTATATGGTTAGTTAGCCTAGAATTTTTGTATGATTTTAGTTCTGTTTGTATTGAATTGATTAATTGGGTTTTTGTTACAAAGTGTGGTTTTTTAAATTTATTTTTTACAAATTTGGTCTACGTACCGGAACGGATAACATTCGAGATTATGCAGGATTATACACGAAAGATCCTTTTTTGGCTCTCTCTTTAGCCCTATGTCTCTTATCCCTAGGAGGTCTTCCTCCACTAGCAGGTTTTTTCGGAAAACTCTATTTATTCTGGTGTGGATGGCAGGCAGGTCTATATTTCTTGGTTTTAATAGGACTTCTTACAAGCGTTGTTTCTATCTACTATTATCTAAAAATAATCAAGTTATTAATGACTGGACGAAACCAAGAAATAACCCCTCACGTGCGAAATTATAGAAGATCTCCTTTAAGATCAAACAATTACATCGAATTGAGTATGATTGTATGTGTTTTCATTCAATTAGACTGGTTTTCTTTTTTAATTATGGAGTCTCAGATTTTTTTTCGTATATGGTCAGTTATGAAGTGTGTTTTTTCTTTGTTTAATTGCTTTTGATTTTGTTTCATACTCCCAGTTGACCAATTATTATTATTTTATTTTATTTACAAATGAAGCGCTTTTTTTTGTGTTCAGTCTTTCAAAAATATACTTTTTTTTGGATTTGGTTTTTGGACTTTTTTTAATTCCTTATCATATAAATACTTCAGGTCGCTTCTTCTAACTAATTTATGGGGAAGCTTTTTATGAATTTGAGGTGGAGAGGGAAGGAATGATTTTTCTACGTTTATTTGTGTTTTTATACATCATTTTTACCTACAGAAAAAAATAAATTTCCGAATTTTTAATGGGCTATCTTTTACTCTTTTTTTTTTTAATTTGCCACGATGAGGTGAGTTGTTTTTTGCTATAACTTGAAACCTATGTAAATTTACATTATTTTTATTCTCATATTTGTGATCAACCAGTTTCAACAATTAACCAGTTTCAAAATCATATTTTTGATATTTTACTACCTATAAACTTTTGGAAGAAATAGTTTCAACAATTAAGCGTATACCCTTTGGAGGAAGCTTAGTACAAAGCTATTATAAATCTCCAAAACTAAGTATTGATTTGGCACAACCAATGGAGAACATCAATAAATTATCTTACTAATATTTAAACTTATGAGGATGCTTTTATATTTTGTCTTGCATTTACTTCAAGACATATATTTGATCAAGTTTATTTATATTTAAGAAGTAACACTTATAAAATATTTTTAAAATCTTCAAACATTTCTAAAACGTACCGGGCCAAATATAATTTCTTTTTATGCCAAATACAAATATTTCTGTGATCACACTTATAAAACATTTCTAAATTCTTCAAACATTTCTAAAATATATCGACCCAAATACAAAATAGATTTTTCTTTCAGATACAAATATTTCTAAAATCTACAAATATATTGGGTGCGCGACCAGACATCACTAGTCTATAATATAATTAAAAAGGATCTAGAGAAGGATATGATAGGTTCATCCGGTTCTGTATAAGATGTTTTTAATCTAAATTTATGACTTCTCTTGTATTAAATTTTTTTTTTTTAAAAAAAAAAAACTCAAACAAAATAGTAAGAAATCAATATTTTCGCAGTCTTACTCTTATCTTTTGGAGAATATGAACAGAAAAAATGACAAGATATGGAGGAATCAGACCATTAATACAGTCATCTCTTGAAAGATCATTCAAAGTAAATTGATGCAACATAAGCATACTCAACAGAGATTGAAATCCCCTCAACCTCACTCTGTTACAACTTACAAATTATATGTCTTCCACTCCAACTCAAGGGACTAGAGGTACACATGCAATAATTCACTTTGATGGTTCTTTCATCCACGAACTAGGAGGGCAGATGGTGCATGGAAGATTACTTCTTCACTGGGTATGGTTATACAAATAAAGTCGATTTCATTGCAGGCACTCTCACCTTTCCAGACAGAAGCCATGACATGTCTTATAGCACTCCGAGAAGCATCAACACTTTCTTATTACACGTGTCAAAGTGTACACTAATTGTGAAGTTTTTACGACTAATCTGTGAAATGCTCTTGTCCTGAGTGAGGCACAAGAGATAGTTTCGTCACTATTAGCTTTATTCCCAACCTTTGAATCCTACCAACTGATTAAAATTAGCAGGATTGAGGTTGGAGAATTGCATAATCTAGCATATAATGCATGTTTTTATAATAGTTTAAGTGCGTCAAGTTAATATACAAGGTACTGTTTTAAAAAATATACTCCCTCCATTCAAAAATATATGTCGTTAGAGGAGTTTCACAAAATTTAAAGAGACAATAAATATTTGATTAAAATACCAAACTACCCTCATTTATTCTCAATACAATTCTATTCTCAATATCATTTAGTTCTAATACACTTCTATTTTAAATAAAATTACATTTTCTCATGTAAGGGCAATGTCGGAAGAAATTGATAAAATATGTCTAGATATGCGAAAACGATATTTATTTTGAAAAAAATTGGTTTTTCTCCAATGACATATATTTTAGAATGGAGGGAGTACATATTTTTGCAGTGCATTTTACATGCCAATGAATGATTAAAAATGGAGAAAGAAATAAGGTGCAAAACAGACGATGACCTGAAAATGTTGAGCAAAAATTTGTATCCAGTTAAAGAACAAACTTGTCGAATGATCTTCTCAAATTTAATAAAGGATAACTAACAATGTCAAGTGGCGTAATCTAAAAGAGGGAAAGTGCTTTGTTTCTTTTTGAAACTTATGCTTCGTCAGTGCATAATGAATGATGAATAAGGATCTTCAAATCATCATTTCCAAAGTCTTTTTGTTCATCCTGGATTTCCATGACTAAACTTGCCAGGGATTTCGGGCACCTGTACACTTCTATCATCGCAAGCGTTGAGATTTCGCTTAATTCAGATGGTATCTCTTCCAAATTCCAACAGTTTCTGAACACTAATTTCTGAAGACTGGGAAGGAATTCATCAGCACAGGCTGCGAAACTGACCAAATCCAAGAATTCCAGTTTTAAGAATTTGAGTTTAGGGAACCAACCTTCTTCCATCTCCCATATTTCCCCCTCAAAGGCGCCTGAAATTAGCTTGAGAACTTCAAGTTTAGGTAGTTCTCCAATAACTGAAATTTTAGACCATGGCAAGCAAAGCCCTGAAAGTGCAAGTTTCTTAAGATTTTCGGGGAAAACAAACTTAAATCCATCTGCTAGCGGACCAGGAGAGAACATCCTCAGTGATTCTAGTCGGCTTAGAAAGTCTAACGTTACAACTCCACCACAACCCCATGATTCTAACAGTCTGCATTTTAGTCTGCGGACGTTGGGAAACAAGCGCATCACCTTCTCCGTTTCTGGACCAATGGTTACAGTAGAAAAGGTGTCAAGATTGCTCAAAGTAGCAGAGTTCATTTCAGCAGAATCATCTGGTAAACAAAAAACTGCACTGTTATTTAAGTGCAAATGCCTAAGTTTCCTCAGTTTCAGAATTGCAACTGGCAACAAAATGTCATGACTGAATCCCTCAATGATCAAAGTTTCCAAGTTGCAAAGTGAGGATATTGATGATGGGATGAAGTATAACTCATCACTGACAGAGAGAGCCAAGTACCTTAGCTGAACCAACTGATTAAGTTCAGTTGGAAAACTGTCACCAACTTTAACCTTCTCCAAGTTCAACACCCTGAGAAGTTTGGAGAACCGAAAAAGGAATGAAACATTGGAAGGGTCTCTGGCGTGCCAGGCCTTATCCCTGTTAAAGAATACGAGGCTGCGTATGTGACGGCAAAACAGCCTCGATTTCCTCAAATCCTCGGGTTCAGAGTGAATGCACAGTCGCCTTAGATCTTGTGGCTCATAAAATGTAGATAGTTCTCCAGGACCTCGTAACCACTGGGCAAAATTTTCTTTCTTGGCTTTAGCCAAGCAAAATTCATGTACTAAATCATGAATGTTGCAAGCTTTGACTCTACCTGAAGAGCTTTGTTGGCCAACCATAACTAAGCTTCTACCTCGTAGATCCATCATGTAGTCTTCAGCTACATCCTCCAAGCTCTTCAAATCGGATTTCATCACGAAGCCTTCTGCAATCCACATCCACATTAACTTGCGAAATGTAACTTCTTGGTCTTCAGGGAACAAGCCTAAGTAAAGGAGGCAAGGCTTCAAATAGTTGGGCAAATGGTTGTAGCTCAGTTCTAATGTAGACATGCACTGTTCTGTTCCATAAAGGGTATGTGAGCTCAAACTTTCCACTACTCCTGCCCAAAGATGTTGATCCATGTTCGCGAGAATGCCGGCTACCACAACAAGTGAAAAGGGCAATCCCTTACAGATTTTAGCGATTCTCATCCCAAGCTCACATAATTCTGGTGGGCGATCTTCTCCGATGAATAACTTCTCCCTCAGTAAATTCCAAGACTCATTTTCTGTGAGTGGTTGCAGAAAATGAAGTTTGCTATTAGCATGAGAAGCCACATTATGAAGACGGGTTGTTAACAGGATTCTACTTCCGTTAGAATCATTGGGAAATAGTTTCCCAAAGTCATTCCATACCGCAATACCCCACACATCATCTAAAATGATGAGATACTTTTTCCCTTTCAGACATTTGTAAAGCTGTTCAAACAAATCATCGTCATTCATGTCCGCAAGTTCCAAAGGCAGCTTGGTAAAAATCCCTTCCAAAATATCAAGCAACAATCTGCGCTTATGATATTGTTGAGATACACAAGACCATGCGCGAATATGAAAATGGTATGCCACTTCAGAATCATGGTATACTTTCTTGGCCAGAGTAGTCTTTCCAAGACCAGCCATTCCAATGATTGAAACTGTGTCCAATGTTGATGTTCCTCTTGTAAGTAGCTCAATCATTTTCTTTGCCTCATCTTCCAGACCTACCACGACTTCGTTGATTATTGGTGTACTAACTTGAGATTCCTGATAACTTGTAACCTTGTCGAATTTCCCATCTTCGAATTCATGCTTGTTATTACCATCAATCTTCGAGACCTTCAACTTCAAAAGACTGATTTCTTCCGTGATCTTATCGATCATATTTGGACAACAATGAAAATGATCTGTGATCACTAAGGAGTCGATGAAAAATTCTACCTTGCGAGCAATATCAGCTGCTTGCATCAAAAGATCTTGGACCTCCGCCTGATCATTGTGCTTTTCCATTATGTTCTCCACAACAGATCTTATGAATATAAGATCTTTACTGAATTCTTCAATTTTATCCTTCTCGGAGACAATGGGAAGAGCCAGTTCAACCAAATTTTCAATAAGCCGATTGATAAATCCTTGGACATTAGTCCTCGGATACTGCAGCCTTGTTGAAACTGGAAATTTGTTAGCAACTTCTAACTTGACAAATTTGATCTCTTTCACCAAATGTGATAATGTGAGACTGATCTCTTTGGCTACACCTTCTTCAGTTCCGTTCGCGAAGAGCGAGCAACTTATAGTTCCTGCATCACTGACAATATCTGCTACAAGCTTTCTTGTTGTCTCCTGTAGATCATTGAACTTCTTGTCCTGCTCCCTTAGAATGCTTCTCAAGAAACTAAGCCCCTCATACAGTAGTTGAGCTTGATCCTTCACCAGGTAAGGAAATTCCCGACCAGAACACAGTAACTCCCACAAATTACCTCGAACAGAATCAATGAAATCCCCTAGTATACGCTCATCAAAGTTCAGGCTTTGACACTTTGATGATCCTGATAGTTTTGAAACTTTCAGGACATGTATATAGATGTCACAAACTTTTGATTCAACAGGTTTAATCTTTTGCAGCAAATTCGATATCCTGGTATCCATTCCTTCAACTCCAATATAGGCATTGGCATGGTAAAGGTATGCTAAATGGATAGCAAGAAATCTGGTGTGAAGCATAAGATCTTCCAGCTGCTTATCATTAACGCTTCGCATTCCAGCGAAAGAAATCATATTTTGCAAGAATCGAACCTTCTCTTCAAGATCTTCAGATAATTCTCGCAAGTCATAAGGACGGATATCCCATATGTTGTCAAGAACGGAGTCCAATAAACTCATCAGTTCATCCCGGATTGGAGCTCTGAGTTTTGATGCCTTGTTCATCAAAACTATGTAGAATCCATTGATTTCTTCGGAAAAGGACTCGATGACATCATGGGATTTAAAGAACACCTGATTGAAATGGTTTCTTTTTTCTTCTGTCATTTCAAGGCCTACTAATTCAACAAGGAGAGACTTCATCACCTGTACATTTTGATGAACAGCAGCTTCAACTTTGAGCAAGAATGATGCCAGGCTCGCAACATCATCATCATCTTTATCATTGAGATCAATGGAATTCAGGCTCCATTTACTGGAGAATCTAACAAAAGTTCTTAGAAACCTCAAGTCCAGTTTCAGCAACAAAAGGGATGAAGATTTGAAGCCAATGCTGTCCTCCATTTGCGTCACAAGATCTAAGGCAGAATCAACACTGCTAGCTGAGGTAACCATCTTTCGATTCGAGTTCTTTACGCCAACAATTAAGGATTAACCAAGTGGTTCTCCTCCACTTCTGAATTGATTAGGAAGAATAAACAAAGTATGGCTTTGGTTGAAAAGTAGACAAATTGTTTCCCCGTGGGAAGCCAGTGGTAAGGCTTTCGTGCACGGTTGGACCACGTAATCTGGCTATAGTCCCATCCCACTGTCCTCAATTTTATTACAGTATAATCGTCTACTTAAATGATAGTAATAAGAATCGCATTCTCTTCTCACTTGGGACACCGAATTCGTAATATATAAGAAAAATACGTAACCAAATCAAATTCTCTAAAAATTTAAAAATAGTTAAAAAGATAGTATTAAATAAATTTCTTCATGCATGCCAAAAATATGTTTTTGAAAATTGCAACTAATAATTGCAAGGCCAACCCGAAAAGCTAAAACGTGACACTCAATCAAAAATCAACGCTCTCTATTAATTCATTTTGTGAAACTAACTATTAGTAATCTGAATTATCGATTTAGTAGATTTATGTAGTAAGATAAGATCGTATCACTTTTCGGAATTCCATAATGTACACAAGTTCACTAACGTGCAACAATGCAGCTAGATAAAAAATGCCCTTCCATCTATAAAAATAGTCCATATTGAATTTTGAAAATTATACTAAAATCGACATAAATTTCAAAACTCAATGTCAACTATTTTTAAAAACAGAAGAAATTGTACACTTAAAAGGCATCCCAAAGCCCCCAATAATTTACTAAGCGGATGTTTTATATAACATTTTGACCGCACAACAGTACCTTTTTAATTAAAACGACCAAACTATTTATGGTATCAAGTCAACCCCAAAAAGTTAGATGTGTTATTCTCCATTTTCTATTTTATATTTAGCCCTATAAAAAGTACTAAGTAGTTCATTTTATTGGATAAAAACAACATAATAAAATGAAATACTCATGTTTTTTTTAAAAAAAATAGTCCATATGAAAAGACTACTACTACCTTCATTCCCAAATATGTGTAATAATTTATCTAATGACACTTATTGTAAAACTATGTGTAAATTGTCTAATGATATTTCTTGTAAAATGGGAAGGGTATTTTCTAAGATAAAAGGATTTAAAGGTCAGTTACTTATGAATTACAATAGCTTACTAGTGCGTGAAGGGAGTAATTACTAAAGACATCAACAATATGTGCTTTTTTTTTTCAGAAAAACAAAAAGAAATTAAATGCAGCTTTAGGGATTTTTTTCATGATAACCGGGCAAAATAAGAAAAATCATTTCATTAAAAAAAAAAGGAAAAGACCTACGAATTTTTCCAATGCTGTCAAAAACCAGAGAGCAAAAGGAAAAGGGCGGGGGAGAAGTAAAAGCTACAGCGAACGTTTATTACTTGTACAACGGAATAATAACCTAAAAAAAGAAATAAAATTGACTTTGCACTATAATATGAAAAATGAATCGTTCTCTAGAGGTCATAGCCACTCTTACATGGCTCCTGTAAGGATTTGGTTGGAACAAAATCATAAATACTCAGATAAATCTTCTTCTTTCTGCAAATCCCAGATAACAACTTTCCCATCCAACCCTGAAGGTGACCACCGATAACACGACAGTAAGGAAAGTATTTTAGTTATGAGTATCACGGTTTGATATCATAGTAGATGAGCTTAAATGAGAATTGGAGCACTGAAAAGATTATTTCGACTAACCTGAGGTGCTGAACCGAGTTATTGTCGAATCCCCTGTTTTGTTTAGAGGTAAGATACAACTACAATTAAGACAGGAGAACAAGGGTTAGTTATGCCTTGGTATGAAAATATCCATGTCTGTACCATTAGACATCTGAAAAACAAAAACGAATACAGAAGAATAGTGAACATAACCATTACTTGATACAGTTTTCATGAACACCAGCACGGCGTCTTGAAGGTTGAACAGTATCATTGCTGCTTCCATATTTCGATTGGCCATAAAATTTACCAAATGCTTCAGAAAACTGAAAACCAGAGATATTCAAGATCACCATTAGTGTCAATACTAAAGAGCTTCTCGTTTCACATGTGTAGAAGCATGTTAGGGAAGCGGAGATTTTCAGAATTTCCATCAAGTTGCTTATCATTATAATAGACAGGGAACTTGGGGAATTAGTTGCTTTCACTTGACGAGACAGATTGCTCATTGTCTAAAAAGAAAACCAGCTAGAATCCCGTAAGCAGATTGCTCAATGAGTTCCTCATCAAGCATAATATCACTCATTGGTCATTAATCTTCTGATGGAGAAAAAGAAATTTGGATAGGTTGTATGAATTGCTTTCTTCGATTTTCCACCTAAACCTTTCCAGCTAATCTTTGATTTTACACAATACTCCAAAAAAGTAAAAGAGGAAACAAACAAAACTACCTGTGAACTAGATGTTGCACTTGGAGCTGCTGGTTTTCTTTCACCAAGGAATCGCAAGAAACCCCTGAATACCGCATTGGAACAACAAATTAAGCAAACACCAGAAATACTAGAAATCCAAGTTGAACATAGAAAGTCTCCTTCAAAATATGCAAACCCAATAAGCCAGAAACTCACTAGGACACCACAAGTAATCTTCTAAATCATAAGCACAATGTATTATGCTAAGAGCCAAATCCATGTCAGCAAAGCAGCCATTTAGTTTTATTCTAGCTCTGAAAGTTTTGTGTGCATAATCTAAAACGCTAAACTTTCAACCATCAAACAAGAAGGAAAGTTGTTTTGCATCATGAAAATACATACAAGCTTCGGATTAGGCAGAGCAAGCTAAAATTGGCTTAAATGCATCCTCACAGCCAACTAACATGCTGATCAATTCGTCCGATAGCTGGATCTAATTGAACTAGATTCATCTGACCCCTGATGCAACCCAAGGAGTCCTATAAACTAGGTTAATTATGCTTTTTCAGTAAAAGAAGATATGCCAAGAGGAACTAAAGGCCAACATAAAAGCACAAGCAACAACAGAGTCCTAAAGCCAGACGGGAATTTTTTATTTGTAATTTTTATTTTTTTTTAAAAAAAGAAAAATACAAAAGTAAACTCACCAAAGTCCCCTTTCATCTGCTACAAACACCATAGGACTGCAATCATATCCCACACCAATAACCACTCTTTCAGAGATATATAGAACCTGAAAAGATACCAAGATACACAAATTTGGTTTCTTGTCATAACATCACCCATAATATAAGAGACTAAAAGTAAAATGCCAGAGATGGTTTCTGACCCACATCACGAAGAGGCAAATCACGGAATGCAACACTTTGCGCTAAAGGAGAGGGGCCCACTTCATCAACAAAGTATATCATTGAGTTATGACCTGAAAAATACACCAAGAAAACATGAAGGCATAGCATCGGGCAAACTTCTAAGACACCCGAATGTATGGATAATGCCAGTTTACTCTGATAGCATCATTTTCTAGACTTAATTCAATCCAAATACAGAAAAACAAGCGTTTCTTTTTAATATGCAGAACTTCAATATCATTGAATAAGTTAGTATTAGACAGTGACATCTTTTCCCTCCGTATAGCAGAATTTATAGTCACGTTAGATGAAACAGGACTAACCAGGACTAACAAGGGTTTCTCACCTGCATAAGCTAAGGTATTGCCACTGGGAGACCACTTGACACCAAATGCCCAGCAAAAGGAGAGATCAAGCTGAATTATTTGCTGCCAAAAAAAGGAGGTGACAAGGAAAGGTTTAGTCTTCAACTCTGCGAGATCAAAATATTGGGGAAAAAAAACGCATCCTTCTTACAACAAGAAGCAAAGTTGCAAAAGGAACAGAATAGAAAGTCACACCTCTCCAAACTTAGCATCTGAGGAAGAACCAGTGCCTTCCCTGCCAGAATGCATGCATACATACACTTAAGTGATGTCTTCTCCACCGCAATCAATTAGGTTAAGATCACTCAGATAGCGAAATAGAGAAGACAGATTTGATAAAAACTTACCTTGTATCGACACCTTTAATGAAAGTTGAAAATACCCGGCATTTTCCATCAGTAGAAGTTGTCGCAAGATATATCTATATCAGAGGTTAAAAATAAAAAAGAGGAGTTAAGCAGCAGGAGCATTACAGAAATGTAACTCAAAATTTATTTTAAAGAATCATGGATGCAGGGGAGCCTTATAATTGCTACCGGCTACATGAAGAAGCCTAGAATCAAGACTAAATAAGAGTGACAAGCATTTCCGGAAGTAGCTGATCAACAGCCTGAATGGCGATAGATGCCTATATTCACTTCTCTTGCTTTAGAGTGTTAATTTACTTGTATACAAATAGCAGAATTTCATGATATCCTGAGGGGTATGTTGCTTTTAACATGTCCTCTTTGGGCTTTCCCAAGAGAGTTTCTTCTCACTCAATGCAAATCAATTTAAGGTCCACATCACCCAGTGAAGCTTATTTATCAAGCTCGAAGGATGTAAACTACTTCCTCTAAGTTTTGAAGTAACCAGATAAGGTGGTACAAAAGGAGAATCTTCCTTCATAAGAGTCGTGGAAACAACAGAAACCATACAACTTCGAAATTCAGTATCAGAGGTGCTGTATATCTTATACGGACCATACACTATCAGTAAGCATAAAATTGATTGCCTAAAGACGTTTCACTATATCATCATTTAACCCATCGGGTCTCAACTCAATGGATCTGGACTGGCTTGGCCAACTTAATGTACAAGCCCCTGATCGTTTGAAAAGGTTTATCCCAGATTCCTGTTGATCATTGACAATAATAACACAAAAGTGGATTAATTAAATATCACAGGCTCACATTGTTGGGATGCCAGGCAACACTTGTAACCGAAGAATCATGTCTCTTCCTGATAAGCTTACTAACCCACCTGAAAGAAGACCCAGAAGAAGAAGAAAGAAAAAGCCATTAACGTTGATCAAAGGTGCACAAAAAGAAGATGCGACACTATTTACAAAGAAACTTGAAGTAGTAGCATTGAAGTAAATATTTATAAATAGAAAATGGTTGGCACTATAATGAACATAAACATATTATATTCCTAATTCATGTAAGGGATATCAAACCATTATCAACAATGTAAAGCGATAAACTTCAATATATATGAGATACAAGATGTTTCTTATTGAAGAACAAAAATGCTATCCACCTAGAGTACTGAAAAAAAAAAAAACCAGAGTAACAAGAAAGCGTAGACAGCCTAACTTTGCATTGAACATCAGATATAAAGTCATAAAACTAGAATTATGGCCTGCTAATAAGAACTTGATAAATCTGTGGTCTTCAGCATAGTAAATTAAGACGACCAGAGATTTGACATTCAATACTTACCAGTTGTTCTCCTGCTCATAGTAGCAAATACATACAGTTTTAGCCCCACTTCCAACAGCAAACTTGTTCTCTGAAAGAAGAATCGGGAGTTTAAAAGATTGCAAGAATAGTCAAGTTTGCTCAAGAATTATAGTCAGTTGTATTTAAGACACCAGAATTGACACTGTTCCCTAGTTATACAAGATTTTTTAATTAAACATGGCACAAAAAAATAGAAATGACTGACTTCAGGAATCTTACAACTCTTACACAACCTCACAAAAGTCATTTTCCCATTTGCAAAATCTACAATAGGAGTAACAGAAGCGATGGTATTACTAGCTTTTACAGAGATTTTATAGCAAAAAAGAATTAGTGACAAAAGGTTCGTGCTATAGCGTCTTTTTACCATATGATTATTAGATGAGTATTACAACAGAGGAACTACAAATCAGTTGTGCTGCAATCATAAAAGCTCACAGAATTCGTTGCCTAGACACCTATATAAAGTTAAGACCGTATACAAATATCCTAAGAATGAATCATTACCTTTCGGACTCCACTGTACACAAAGAGCTGCACGATTTAACCTAAGAATGACAAGGGTGGGAACCCATTCAGTGGATTCCTGGTTCCAGACGTACCTACATGAAAAAAGCATCCACAAACAAAAGCGCATCACTGACTAGTAAATGTAACGGAAGGAGAGCGTAAAAGACCATAGCATTATATTGTAGTTACAATTGAGTCAAATTGGTACTTTACAAACCAAAAGAAAATTATGCAACAGGATAAAATATATAGGACTCACGAATTCCTATCATGAGATACAGTTACTATTTTGTTTGACTTTGAACTCCAATCTATTCCAGAAACAATCTGGTCATGCTGCAAGAGAAAGAGACAGCAAAGAAGAGATAATTAGTTAAACTTCCACTCTGAACAATCTTGGAGTAGACAATTATACCAACATCCATAGGTAAAGCAAAAACTTCAGGTAACCTAATAATATAAGTCAAATTCATAAAAATAGACATAAAGCTGGACTGAAATAAAGAAAGATGAGTGGTAAGGATATCTTGACAGAAAAAACAGTTAAAAGTGTAATTCATAAACAGTTTAAACAAAACTATGAGCTGCACAACAAAAAGGTAATTCTGATCAAATGAGGAAGGATATGGATGAGAAACCAAACGATAGAAAAGTCTGAGTACTAACACATATATACAATATTCTGAAGCCACGAAGCAGATGCAAGAGAATATGGAAGGATGTGCACCAGACACTAATTAGTAGAAATACAATTATTCTTTGTAAGAGGAATGATACGGAAAAGATATTAAAACAAAGAAAATTCTATGACCAACTATACATGCACAGCACTCTAAAGCCATGAAGCAGATGCAAGTCAACATGAAAGGATACGCACCACTAAACTTTTGATATATAGATGACGCAACAACAGTCAAAATTACAGAACTAGAGCTGCCCAAGAAACCAATATGGTAGATCAAAAGAGAAGAAAATAAAATGACACTCCAATAGATGCATAAAAGTGAAATCAAAGAAGAAAAGAAACTGTACAATTGGAATCGGGAGGAAAATCAAGAAAGGCCCTACAAAATTACCTTCTGAAGGACATGGATCCTTTCCCACTTATCCTGTTCTAATTGTTTGTAAATATGCACTTCATTATTGTTCGGACAAAGTGCAAGCACTACAAAACAAGTTACAGAGCATCAGAAAAGCCCAGGTCACACAAATCCGGAAAAAAAAAAAAAAAAAAAAAGCACCACCCACTAGTAAAGAACTACAGGACTGTATAGTATATTTAGAACCTCAGACACACTGAACCACTTATACTTTAATCTACTGAATGGTATCAGAACTGATAAACTAGTTCACAGGATTCTAAAAACCCTATTACAGAGTTTGCCAAGGGCTGAATACAGAGGGTGGGATCAATACACAGAATTTTCGAACAGCTGGGCTCATCAAAGAAATCTGAGTTTTGATGTCTAATACTCCAACAGAACAATGAACTAAGAGCAATTAAAAACACGTTTCCATGATTTAAGTAAATTGCAACTCAATAATAGTCCATACAGTGAACATTTGACAATCACCCTCCACAAAACCGTTTCCTTCGCATTTCAAATCTAGTCGAATTATCCTCACTATCTAAGCTGTATCACTATCTTAAGCTTTCAGCAGCTGACTTAATTCAACAAAATTGAGCATCCCAATATGTATAACGGCAAATTCCCATCTACCAACCCAGAGAAAAACATATACAATATCCCTCCAATGCCCATTTAAAGTTTTCAAATGTTCAACGCGATCTTCTATCAAATTCTGAAATAAGTTATAGGACATCCCAAGCAATCAAACGACATTTCAAACCAATCATCAGCATCAAAATCAAATCTTGGCGAGGTAAACCAAATACGAACTATAATAAAACCACAGAATTGAAGAAAGACGAATAAAGTAAAAGGACGTACTGGATTGGTCTGGGCTCCAAGCATGACAAGTAATGCATTCAGCAAATTTATGTACAGAAACTGCAGCCATGTTTCTGCATCCAAATTCCTCACTGGGCAGATGAAAATTTGCGCAAGGAAAAAATACTATAAAAATACTATAAAAATAAATTCTGCAGCTTTGAAATGGTCCCTTCACTAATTACTTATTATTCAGATCTAAAAGAACAAATGAATGAATTCAGAGAGAAGAACGAGGTATAAAAGGACAGGGATTGGTGGGTTTTAGGCAATGATTAACTTCATTGCTTTGCTTGTTTGTTTGTTAATCAATTTTTGTTGGCTCTTGCATTCGAGTAATCTGCTCAAAAGGACCCTTATATTTGTCCAAAAACTTAATTTGGTCCTTTAAATTAAAAACTCACTCATTTGGTCCTTTTTATCTTTTTTTGCTCTCTACATTTGCGGTTCTTGGGCTGACCAATTTTTTGTCAACTCAATAAGGACATTTTCAGTAACTTATAAATATCAGATTTTTAAAATATGTAAAAAACTAAAAATGTATAAAAATAATACTAAACATATTATATTAACTTATAATTTATTATTAAAATAAGAAAATAATTTAAAAATTCAAAATCAAATATAATATTATTAAAATATTAAAAAAAAAATTTAAAAAATAAAAAAATCCAAAATCAGATTTTTTTTTTTACCCGTCAGTCCCTATCGAAATCTTTTACCCTTGAATTATTTTGTTTTTATTATGTGGGGTTAACATATAATTGTTTTATTTATTTTTATTTATTATTATTTTTTCTTTATACCAAAATAAATCACGAAAAAAATATTGAATAAGGGTAACGAAAAAAATTAGATGTGGGCCAGCATGACAAATCACAACTTATACTCATACAAAAAACTAAACCAAAAAGTGAAATAAACCATTGTCCAAACAAGTCCTCTGTTTTTATCATGTAGGGCCCACATCTAATTTTTTTATTTATCCTTATTTTGTATTTTTTTCGTCAAAATAACTCACGAAAAAAAATATTGAATAAGGGTAAAGAAAAAATTAAATGTTGGCCCCACATAATAAAAATAGAATAATTCAAGGGTAAAAATTTTTGATTGGGCCAACGGGTAAAAAATATCTATAAATGATTTTGGATTTTTTAAAATTTTTTTTAATTTTTTAATAATATTATATTTGAATTTAGAATTTTTAAATTATTTTCTTATTTAATAATAAATTATAAATTAATATAATATGTTTACTATTATAAATTAATTTTATTCTTAATATTTTTACACCACCACCGAACCACCGCTACCGACTGACTGCCGGCGGTCAGATTCTGACCAACTCGCCGAAATCTAGCCGGGCGGTCGCCGGCCAGTGGAGTTCTGGAGGCGGCAGTGGGCGGTTCGGCGGCGGCGGAGGTGGTCCGGTGGTGGTGGATAAAAATTGGGTAAAAAAAAAAGTTTTGATTGGACCCACGAGTTAAAAAAAATAAATCATATTTTGATTTTTTATTTTTCAATTTTTAAAATTTTTAATAATATTATATTTAAATTTTTAATTTTTAATTTTTTCATTTCATAATAAATTATAAATTAATTTAAATTTTTTAGTATTATTTTAATACATTTTTGGTTTTTTACATGTTTTAAAAATCTGATATTTATAAGTTACCGAAAATGCCTCTATTGAGTTGACAAAGAACTGGTCAGCCCAAGAACCTACAAATGTAAAGGACCAAAAAAGATAAGAAGGACCAAATTAGTTGAAAAGACAAATATAAAGGACCAAATGAGTGAGTATTTAATGTAAAGTACTAAATTAAGTTTTGAGTCAAATATAAAAGACCTTTTGAGCAAATTACTCTAGTGAAAAATTTGCTTCTTTCAGACGTAAGCGTTTTTTAGGAGTTAGGGGACTAGCTCACTATTTCCTTTACTTTTAAATTTCTTCCTTTTTCAAATTTATATGTACTCGTTTTTTTTTAAAAAAATAAATCTATTTTCTTCCATGGTTATTTATTTCACCAGTACCGCTGTGTCTTTTTTTTTTTTTTTATCAATTTCGCATGTAATTGTATTTTTTGTTTTGCTTTTTTTCTTCAGAAAAGAAAAAAATAATAATATTGGGATGGTAGGAAAGGTGAAATCTTTAACATGTTAACCACAGTTTCGATTATTTGAGATTAAGAAAACATAATAAATTACTCTTTTGGTTCTTTTTATAAAGCTCAAAACTAACACCAAAATGAAGGGAAATTGGTAGAGGGAGTTTGGGGGGTAGATTAGGTAGTCCAAAAAAGAACACCAAAATGAAAAAGAACACCAAAATGAAAAAGACGGGTAGAAGTAGTAGAAAAGAAATGAAGGAAGCCAGTGAATTACCAATTAGATGTCTTTAAAGATACTTTTCCTTGTCCGAGTTGAGATTCTTTGAACTCCAATTACCCTCTAAACAACACCATAAAATAAACTTATACTCTTTTGAGTTGTTTCAGTTAGGTGAAGTAATCGTAGCCAATCTACCAATATTTTGGTATTAGTGGAAGACGAAGTAAATGAGAATACACAGCTCCATCAATACGGATAAATCCCAGAACTGAACCCCATTTCTCTTCATTTAAAAAGGTCTTCGAAGATGGGTGACCTGATCCCATCAGCTTGTGGATTACCTCATGCAATAGCAAATTCAAAAACATTACAAAAAACCAAGAAGCAGAAATGAGGAAGCTCGAGTTGCAAAAGCGCTCAAAAAGCTATCTCCTGCTTCGGTGACGTACAGTCTGACTAACAGCAAGAATTTATCTCATAATTTGCGGCCATTTACATAGGTTTGCCTCCATCAAGTGCTATCAATTACATAAAACCAGTAAGCCCTACCCCTTGAAACTCCTCGAAAAATAAGATAAAACAAGCAGAAAACCCCCACAGAGGCACTGCAGGTGTGGATCAGATGCATCATAAGTGCGCGAACAAACAGTTAACAATCAAAGCAACCTTGATTAACAATCCAATTCTATCAGTTCCAGTCTAAGTCGCTTGTCTGTAGTCAGCATGGATCCAGCTCATAGTAAGCCTTTAACCCAGAAGCAGAGCATAAAACATCTCCAATCTCTAATTCGGCAGCCTGAAGTTGTGCTCAAAAGAGTTTACAGAGCTTTTCAATATTCTACACCACGATGAAATATAGAGCATATTAGAAGGCACACATGGATAACATAAAGTGTGGAAAATGTTTCTGCTAAGATGAATTAATTCAGCAGAAAATTTACATGCGGCGAACCCAATAGACAGAGCTATGCATGTAACCAGCTAAGAAATTTACAAGTTCATAAGCCACGCATAGAAAAAGGTACCAAACGATTAAGCTGATCAACAATAACTTGGTCTTTAGCTTGCAATTAGATTTTTCTCTCCACAAGCAAAACAAGAACAAATCTTTCTGGGCAAAAAGTCTTCTCATGCACAACGTGTGTATTATGTAAAATACAACATTACTTTCATGATGGAAAAGCAGCAATTAATCATAGACGATCAACAACAATAACTTCTTTTAAGGGCTTAAAAAGAACATAAAACCCATGCTGCACACTCTGTTACTCTGAACAAGAAAAAGACAAGATTGAGTTTGACCAGTTTTCATTGAAAACAATAAGCTAAAAAGATGATCTTAGAAATGCGTAACCTTTTCTAGGCAATGCTTTTCCATAATTTTAATGACACGAGATATTTAAAAGAGACGTTAAAGGTTCTGACCTCTCTATCTAGAAATCAATGATGAAACTGTTAACAAGACACCCATGAGCAGGACACCATAGTTCACCACTTTATCCGCATCCTTGACCTGTGCCATCATTCCATCTATGTTCCTCAACATGCGTGTAAAAGGGCAGGCAACCTGTTGAACCTGCAGTTCACATTGCTCGCAGTGTTTAGTTCAGAGTTCAAACACACCAAATTCTCACTGTTGCCAACATGCATTAACCATAGTTAGTATCATCAAAATGTTAATAAACTCAAACCCCAACTGAAATTGTGTATTAGATAACAAACTTTTCACAGTAAAGGTTTACTCTTAACATTGTCTCTGGAAAACAATCCAATATGTGGAAACGATTAACCAGTTTGATGATCCTGACCTGGTTTTCGTCACTTGTTTGATCATGAGAATCTGTAGTAGACAGAATTCTCTTTACTGTGTGATCCGGTGCCACCTCTATGTCACCCCTTTTGGAGTCTTTGATTGCTCTATAAGCTGAATCAGTATGAATTGTTTCCATCACTGAACCGAAGAAGTTCGTCATAGGCACCTTTCAAAAATATAACAATGAATTAAACAAAGGAAAACGAAAAGGGGGGAAAGAAAAAAGAAAGTAGAGGGGGGGGGGGTGGGGAGGAAAATGATAAGAACCGGAACCATAACACATCAGAAAAGAAAAGGATCTCAATTCAACATACATCATCCAGGCGACGTTGGTATAAGTCCATTCGGTAATATGCAGTTGATAGCAGCAGATTTGGATTGTATGAGTTGAACAGACTGTCAAACAGGGAAATCAAATGGTGCATAATGACCTTAATCAGCAGAAGGGTATGCGAAGAGCAATTCTTAGGTAGTCATTAATACAGAAAAGAAGAAACTTGTCACATTATGGTAAATCAAATCTTTTAAAGCATATATTCAATTTCCAAAAACATATGCAACAGTTCAAAAAAAAGAGCCCCTGACATCGTTTCCACCCAATAAGAAAGGGTTCCTTATATACTAGAATCATTTAGAGCATGGGTCCATATTGAAAGATGAAAATCAACCTCTAAATTAGCTTTTTTATTATACATGTGATACATTTTCCTGATTACCTGCTCAACGATGCATTGTTGTACATGTTTAGCCTCTCGAAAAATGCAAGTGTATAATACGTGAAGCGATCAACAACAGAGACACCAACCTGCAGCAATCATCACAAAATGTTTTCAGCAATCAATTTCCTTGCCTATAATAATCACAATCCTAAATAACCAAACTTACATCAGAGTCCAAGTGATGTGAATAGGAATTCTCTCCTTTCTTGCTACTTCCAATGGCCAAAACACCAGGGGAATGAAGCTGCAACACAGGAAATATAAAAACATTGTGTCAGGGTAGTCTTCCAGTACTCATTATAATACATGGCTTTACTAGTTTTTTTATAGGTCTTCATCAGATCATCTTCGAGGATTAGTGGACATAATCAACATACAATACAATCAATTATTACCTGAGAAAATAGAGTGGCAGCTTGGCAAGTGTCTACCATGATCAAGAGCTCTTTAAACCTGTGCATTTAAAAAATAAACATCCCTGGTTAGGCCGTTAGTACTGTTATCTTTTCTGGTTCTATCTAAGATCATTTGTTGCCTGGGAATCTCAAACCTGAATAGTGAAATAATGACAAGAATCCATTTTTAATAAATCTAAGAGTTAACAAACTGTGCCAACGTAGATGGAGACGGTTCTGTTAACCAAATGTTGCAGATTTACTTAGCACCAAGATGTTCAAATAGAATTTAATATGATGAAACACCATAACTTAGTGAGGTTTCTACCCAAATAGATAGAATTCCTTAGAGATTCTGGCCCCCACCTTCTCTTTTCCTTCATTTGCTTGACGGCATCAGCTAAATCATGACTTTGAAGCTCCTCTGAGTCTTGGAACTTTAGAAACTCATCACCACCGTGCCCCGTCATATAAAGCAATATGTGGCTCCCTTCATCACTGAGAAGCCGTTTTGATCTGGGGACAGCAGGTTCATGACGACCGGTCAAGACTCGAAGAAAATTTTCAACAGTTACTTCATAACCTCGATAATCTACCTGCCATGTCAAAGAGCACATTAATGATATTTGTTAGCATGAAAAGCATCACTATCTATCGAAACATCATACATGTTCAACTTCCCCCACTTTGAGTGGGGAAAAAAAGTGCAATCATTAACAACCTAGATGCCATTTCAACAGCCTAAAGGGTTTTTTTTTTTTTGGCCAAATGAAAAAACATAAAGCTAACATCACACACAGAAGATACTCACGATACATTAAGCATTGCATAATAGCAAAATTTCATGTCCTGATTATAAACAAGATTGTAGATAAACATCTCTAAGCCAAGAACTGATAAAGTCTCAATTAAAAAAAAAATTAAAAAAGCACATGCACCATCAGAGAGACGGTTAAATTAAAGAGAGGATCCAGATAGTACCTCCACATTGTCTCCATACAAGTTAAGCTTGTGATTCTCATTGTTAAAAACCTGAGCAGGATACTTGTTCCTCGCATTACAAGCCATATCATCCGCCAACATTAAGATTATCCTCTCATCAGGTATTCCTAACCTCTTCACTGTTCTAAATTACCACATTCAAATTAAAAAAAAAAAAAAGTAAAAATTTATTTCGTAATAACCACTTAATAGAAGTAACAAAAATAGCCACATACTGTACATAAATTCGTAGAGCTTAAATTTTTTTTACCTATATAACGATAACGTATTCGCCATATGACGGTAATTAAACCTGAGAAATAAAGAGTAGATCACTAACTGAGAAGCTGATCACCAGAAATTCAAACAAATCAAGGAAGATTACGCGCGAGTAAAGTCTACCAAAATCGCGAGGTGCAGACTAAAATCGCCCAATTATTTGTGTGCATTGTGGTAGTGGAATCAGAAACACTCGCCGGACTTGCACCGGAGGGATTCGTTGTGGCCAACAGAATCACCAAAAACGCCATGAATTTGCAATCACAGCCCTCCATTTTCCAGAAAACCGCAGAGAATACCCGTCAATTAACTACCTCTCACTGACCGAGTGATTTGCCAGGGAAGTCACGAGATAACTGAACTGCTTAATAACGAGTCCACCGGTTTTTACAAGTTTTTCCGGTCAGGAACTGCTAAATCGAAGCCTTGGCCGTCCGGCTCAGTACATCTTGTTCACTCTTATTAGCCGTCCGGTTTTCGTCCTTTTAAGTTGTACGCAAAACGACATGACCAATATCGTTTTCTTTTTCCCCTTCATCTTTAGGAACTAGCTTGAATGGACAACTTTCTTGTTTTCTTTTCGTTTTATTAAATTAATATGTGAAACTCAAAAAATTATTAATTTATAGATGTATTAATTTTTAGAAACATTTGTAACTCCTGTTACTAAAAATTTGACTTATGATTAAAAAAAAAATTAGTCAAATTAAACTCTAATGATTTTGATTTTGCATATATATAATTTTTGTCAAAATGCATGGATAAATAGATCTGTGTAATAATATATTTTTCTACCATCCTACTCAACATACGTATGAAACTTTTTCAATACATGGAAATCTTGTATTCTTAGGAGAAAGAAAAGAAACGTACTATATTAATAAGTTAACTAATTCAATATTAATGTTCAAGTGAAACGAAAAATGAACATACAGAAACGAAAGTCGAGAGATGTTAGAAAATAATCTATAACTAGATGCTCTGTCCGGGCGCCCCCTCTACTTTAATTTTGTGTTAATAAATAAATGAATTCTTGATTTGAAAAAAATAAAATAGCTACACATTTGTTTTTTTTCCTTTTTTAGCTAAAAATTTTAAAAAAAATCATCTGCAAAAGGAGAGAAAATATTGAAAAGTACAATGATGCAGAAATCTTATAGAAGAATGTGGAGTAATAAAGGGGATAAGTTTATGGGTAAATTTAAATGCTATCTTAATTTGATTGATTGATAAGTGTTATGAGTTAAAATTGTGTAGCTATTTTTGTAAAGTAGTTTTTGTTTCTCCGAATAAGAAGTTTTTTTTTCTTTTAAAAATGAATGACACGTGGCAGAATGGTAAATGCAATATATGGTGCATTTGGAGCCAAAAATTTTTTAATGTTGAAGTTGTCACATCATCATCCTGTATTCTGCTTTAATAGGATAATTTAGAAAAAATAAAATAGCTACACATTTATTTTTTTCCCTTTTTAGCCAAAAAAAAAAAATCATCTGCAAAAGGAGAGAAAATATTGAAAAGTACAATGATGCAGAAATCATACAGAATAATGTGGAGTAATAAAGGGGATAAGTTTATGGGTAAATTTAAATGCTATCTTAATTTGATTGATAAATGATAAGTGTTAGGAGTTAAAATTGTGTAGCTATTTTTGTAAAGTAGTTTTTGTTTCTTCGGATAAGAAGTTTTTTTTTCTTTTAAAAAAGGATGACACGTGGCAGAATGGTTAATGCAATATGGTGCATTTGGAGCCATAATTTTTTAATGTTGAAGTTGCCACATCAACATCCTGTATTCTGCTTTAATAGGGTAAAAGGAATATATAAAAAAAAAAAAATCTATAGTTTTATTACAAAATTATAATTTACACGCATAGAAATTTAAATATCCAACAAAATTTAAATGTTGGTATAATGAGAATTTAAATGGATGTTTGGACTTTCAAAAAAAATAATAATTTACACGAATTTTAAGTACCGAATGCATCGAAAATCGAAAATCTTCCTTTGTTGGAATACTTTAAAATTAGTTTCGAGTAGATGCATCTGAGAAAATAGGTAAACTGAAACACAAAGTTAGTTTAAAAAACTTAAAAACATAGTGGGAGATGCAATGTGCAATTAAAAAGTTAAAGAAGAGTATATTTCAAAAAATAAAAATAAAAATAAGAATAAATAGTGAGAGAAAACAAATATTATGTTTGGAAGAGAGAGATCTTCATCACAAATAATTTCGATGAATATTAATTTAAGGACATTTCATCTTCTCCTCCTCCTCCTCCGTGATTAGTACTATTGTAATGATAATCAAACGACATTGTATCTTCTCCTTCTCCTCCATAATTATTAATTAAAGTGTTAATTAAAGATCATCAATCGGTATTAATTAACTTAGTAGTTACATATATACTTATCTTTTCATCTTAATCAATTATTTGAAAGGATTTAGAGTATTATACTAAGAGAGAAATTGGAGAGAGATTTCAAAGAGAGTTTTTATACCGTTACGTAGGATAAACATGTCAAGTTCTCAAATTTTGGAGAAAAAAAGTTTCGACATTTAACTAATAGCCCCTAAAAATATTGATTATAGCATATTAGTACATTCACCATAATTATCTAAATTAATTAACATTATATATATACAATAACAATTGATCTCACTCCCAAAAATCAAGGTACAACTTGATAAACCAATCACATATATTTTGTGCACTTAATCAATATTAAATATATCTAATAACTATTGTTCTCATTCAAAAAAAAAAAAATCACACATTCAATTCACTACAACAAAAATGAGTAGTTTAGACATTTTTTTGTGTCTCAATAAGTGGTGTAATAGGACACATGTGATTCACATTGCTTGGGACACTATTAAATAGTGTCTCCTATAATCGAGTCACAATAAGTCATAAAACATTTGAAAGTCTATTATTAGATTGTCACTTATTAAGACAATTTAAGGTGACCCATTAAGTAGGGTAATAATTCACAAACAACACCACATAGTATACTTATGATAGTGTTTCATTATATGCACATAATTTTTCATTTTTAATAAGATACTTTTTAGCAAATGTCCTAATACACATATAATGAGACACATTTTAGAAAAAGTCTCCCACTATGAAGGTATTAATATCCCATTTTTGTTGTAGTGATTTGAATAAATATGTAAAGATAATGCGTGAATCACTTATACTAATTACTACTATTTATTTTCAAATTTGAATCTAATTAATGTGTAATTATAGTCATCTATCAAACTGTAAAGGAGACTTGAAAAAAATTTGAAACGATCTCTTAAATCACACCATTTAAATCGTATGAAAATGCAATAATTAGTATCTTGAACATTAATCGTAGAAAAATTGATATATAAATATTATTTGATCGAGATTCTTTCTACCCGGTCTATTATTTTTTGGTGTTTAAATTTTTTTTTTTCATTTCTCTGATATTTTTTCAATGATCAATTGATTCTCTCCCCTCCTAACTTTAAAAATAAGTTTTGAATTGAAAGTTAAATGATATATGGATTATGTTTATTTTGAATTTGGATTTGGGTGTGAGAGGGGGAGTAAAACTTTTTTTGGCCCAAGTGATTGCCCATTTAAAACCTTAATTAGTAAAGGAGAAATGGATTAATTATTTACATAAAATTTTAATAGTTTAATGATGAGCCAATAATAAAACGCATAAGCTAATGGTTTAATGACGAACTAATAATAAAATGACACATGTCAATTGAACCTATTGAAGGGCTAATTGAGCGACACATGTTCAATGATCAACTCTCCTTAATATATAATATACAGATTCCAAAAATTTCCTTCCCCAAAATCATATCATTTTGGGGATCCCTTCTAATAATTCTTCAACCAGCATTTTTTCTATTTGATGATGATTTTTACTGGACATTTTTTTCAAAAGTCCCCTTTCTCCTTCCTTCCCGATCCCATCTAACCAGCGTTATTGAACTCGGCTTGGATCGGTCGATCGAACTGGTTTAATGGGAAACCGGACCTAAATCCGAACCGAGTAGGTTTGAAAATCGGTCATTTATGACTCGGTCAAAACCGGTCAAGATTCCGGTCAAACTGGAAATCGGTCAACCCGGGTTGAACCAGGTTTTGACTTTCAGTCACTTTTAAAAATTCTTTTAAATTTTTTTGCACTACTTTTGAGGTGTATTTATTATTTAATATGAATTTTTCACTTTTAGCCCTCAATTAGATTTTTTATGTTACTAATGATCCATAACTTTTATATATATGTTATTTAAACCCATAATTTAAATATTTTAAGTCTAAATTTTTAATTTAGTCATTTATCTCATATTTTAAATGTCAAATTGAGTAATGACCATTGTTTGAACTAAAGTAAAATATTATAAACCAACTAAATCAACCAATATTGATTACTTTAAAATAAAGTAAAAAAATATACAATCAAATACATTGATTAAACATTTAATGTAATTTCCTTTATTATAAAAGTCAATTATATAGCAAATTTATTAATTTTTAATTATAATCAAAGTTAATTTAAACTATTAGTCTAGCTAATGTCATAATTTTGTTATATAGAAACCTTATTTAAAGTTAAGAAACACTACTTTGATTTTAACAATTAACAAATGTATATAGAATCAATAAAATTTTATTAAAAATATATATTTATTAATTTTTAATATTTATTACGTCATTATGACATCATCCGAGTCGATCCCCCGAATCGCCTGAGTCGACTCCCGAGTCACTCGACCCCTGGCCACTGCCGAGTCGTGTTCCGATCCGGGCCTGACAACACCGCATCTAACACCTCCAGTTATCACTTCTCGGGGATCTCTGCCCCTATCCCTTCTCTGCCACCATCCACTTCCTCGACCTTCTCCCATTCAATATTCATAACCCACGTAAAAACCAGAGCCTTCCTCCTTGTCGCGGTCAATGAAACCACCGCAATGAATCTTAAAATGATACGATTCACTATTTTTTTTTCTTTTCAGTGTGGAGCAATGTTATCCATGAAATAGTATCATGAAATTTTAAATTTTACTCCAATTACATTAGTCGGTTTTTTCAGGTTCCCCTTCGGACGCAACAGCAAAATTTGTCAAAAGGATAAAAATGACAAGAATGAGGAAGAGTAGCTCGATCGACATAAAAGAAGAGTACAACTTATTCATTCATCATCATAATAAGTTATACTAATAATTTTGAAATCTTATATACAGGTCCTCGTGACTTTACAATAAGGAGCAACGAAACTTGGTAAATAAAAGTTCGAGAGATAAATTCCTCGAAAGGGCAACAACCCTCATACTATTACTCGAAATATTAATTCGAGAAGATATATCTCAAGAATCAATTACTACTCGGAATCTTCGAGAAGATATTCCTCGAGACCCCAAAAATTGTATAGATAATTTTAAGAATAAATGTTAATTTATACACCCTACAAACCACAAGTCACTTTCAAACTAACATCCGCCGACCACCAATTGGATACTAATTCATTTTATGAAATGTAAATTA